TGCCTTCCATCTCCTTTCACATCCCATGGCTGAGTCCCAGCACGTTCACACACTGTGCTGACCTCGGGCACATACTCATCAAACACCTTTTTTTTTCCTGTAGAAAATGATGCAATGAAAGGAAACTTTCTCTTGCAGTGGTTTAAGTTACATTCTTACCCTTTCTGGAAGATTCCCTCTTGAATCACGCTTTTGTCCTCTGCATGACCTCAGGAAAATATGCTGCTTTTACAAAGGAGCTGTGAAATTATTGCAACAAGTGCTTGGTAAACAAGAGCCCATCTGACACACCCCAGGCAGCAAACAAACCTCCCACAACAGGCAGTGCTCCCCCTGGGCTGCACAGCTGCATCCCAAGGGCTTTTCATGGAAAAGGAGCCCTCTGGTGCCAGGTTTCAGGCAGTTTGATGTGATGCAGTGATTTTATATCAGCTGTCAGTGATCCGGAGCAGGGACTGAGTCCTGGTGGGCAATAACCAGGGATGCCCCAGGAATGATCCATCCCAGGATGCTGCAGATTAAAGGGAGTGGGACTTGTGCTGAGGTGGCAGCGTGGCAGAGGAAAGCAGAGACAGGCTTGGAACAGAGAGGAGGATTAAAGTGTCCAAAGAACCATCCCCTCTCAATGTGCTGGCTGCTCATGGAAAGGGCAGAATAAGGGTTTGTAGAAAACAAGCACAGTCATGGAATCATAGGATCTCTGAGGATTGCTGAACCAGATCCCACTGGCCACAGAAAAATGCTTTAAAGCCTGCAGCAGCTGCTGAAATTAGGATGAAATAAAATACATTCTTCTTGTTTAGATACTACAAAATCTCTCATCCCAGCCTGTGTGAAAGTTCAACCGCTTCCTTTGTTCATGAGGTGAAGGAGACTTTTGTCAACTCCAGTGTCTGGGGTTTCATTATTCTTTTTAAATAAGGGTCTGTTTCTCAATTTATTAAAAGTCTAAACCCTCTTTGTACTCTTAAGATCAGCTTTTAGCAGCTGGGCTTTTCATTAAAGGTGCTGATAGGTTGTGTGTCATCACAGGTGACCTTCAAGAACAGTAAAGGGCAGGTTTTGATCCTGAAAGTGAGGGAGGGGAAGATGGATCTTTTCTACAGGCCTTGTTCCAGGCAAGGGCCCCCCTTGGCTGTGCCTTCTCATATCTCTTCCTTGCAGCCGGTATCCCAAGGGTGGTTTGAGGCCTTTCCCTCCCTTTGCCTTTCCTATGCTGGGCACAAAAAAATAAATCCCTGGTGTAGAGTCCCACACATTGTCAGCTGTGAGGGTACAGGTCACTCACCAGCCTAGACGTGACTTCTATCTGTGCTAAAGGCTGTTCCTAACACAGCTCCTCCTCTTCTCCATGTGTGGGCATTTGGGATGAGGCCGTTGATTGTTAGACTTGGAAAATGGCTGTGGAGGGGCTGGTGAGGAGCTGCCTTTGGTCACCCTTATCACTCAAACCCTGCTCTGGCTCCTGTGGGATGCAGGGAAGGATTGCTCCAGGCACTTGTCCCACCAGGGCTGCTGTGCTCTGGTTAAACCCACCAGATCAGGTTATTCCTGATCCACACTGGAACGCAAAGAAAAGCAGCCCCTCAGTGTTTGTTTGTCATGGAAGGGAAGCTGATCCTGTGATGGGAATAGCAGGGGGGGCAGCCCCGGTGACCGTGGGTGTTCCTGGAGCCATTGGATGACCCACCCCGTGTTCCCAACCATGGGCAACCCAGGGGAGGGACTCTGATGTGACTCCCCATGACAACACCTGAGTCACCTGCCGTGACACAAACATGTTTCTATACCCAGAGCAGTTTATGGCCACAGTGATGCTCCTGGAGGAGCAGGAGGCAAAACACCTTGGCAGGGCTCTCTTGGAGCAGGATGAAAAATCACGGAAGTTATGGAGGAAAACTTGCGTTTCCTCCATCTTGGCAAAGCCAGGCAGTGCACTCCCACATGTTACCTGTTAATTTATGATCTGTTTGGTACCTTGTAAAAGATATACAGACAAAAGTAACTGTTGCCCTCAAAGCTGTGTAAATTGATGAGGAAACAGCAGTGACCAGCAATACTTGAGGAGTGTCACAGTTTCTGGGCAGACCACTCCTACCCTTCTGTTAATAATTACCCATGAGGAGGTCCTGATTTATGGCAGGATAATCTGGAAGTAGTAGAAGTCAAAAAGTAAACTTAATAATGTCTAAAAAACGATGTTTTGTCTTGTTTTTGTATGAGTTCAAATGTATCCAGCAGAGAAGTGGAATTAATGGCCTGTTCCAGTTGGTTATCCATCCTTCCCAACAGAAATGGCCCTGGCACGGCTGGGTGTTGTGGAGGACCTGTTGAGGAGCACTTGAGGATTCCAGAGGGAATCTGGCCATCCCTCCCTCCGGTTTCATGGGCAGCGTCACTCCAGACTAACCCGACCTGACTCATGAGGTCATTCTCCAAGGAACAGTTTCGTGACATCAGCCTTGACAAGGATGGGGCACTGATACTGCTGTGACATCTGCAGAGCCTGGAGCTGAACCCTCTGGGATGACACTGGAGGTGTTGGTGTCCCTGAGCAGTGCCAGGCTGTTCTCCTCCCTCCCCACACCTCTGCTCTGCTCCCGCAGAACATTTTCTCAGGAACCACTTCCTGAGTTTGGAGTGGTTTTGCTCATATTTCCCTTGATCTGAGATCCCCTGTCACTACCAATCTCCCCCATAAACCAGCCCTCCAAACTGCATGGCTGGTTCTCCAGCCTTGGGTGATTGCAAACCCCCTGTAACCTTCCCTTATCTAACATTCCATTATGTTTTCCACCCCTCCCTTTCTGCTGGAATTCCCTGAAAATGGTGAAACACATCAAAGCCTTTGACCAAGGCTGTTTCCTGCTCTTGTTTTCAGGACATCCCCATATCTTCCAATGCAGAGCAACGTGCTCTCTGAACCTCCCTGCCCATCTCCTCTTCCTGCAGCTCCTCCAAGGTTTTCCTTGTCTTTGGCTTTTCCCAGTCAGGGTAAACACGTTTAAGCCTTTACACTCTTGGAAATACACTGTGGTTTGCATCTGCTCTGAGACAGGAAACCAATCCAAGGTGCTTTGTTGAGAGTCTTGGTCCCAGATATTTCCAAGATCCATGTGAAGGTGAGCTTGGCCCTCTCGGCCACCTCGGAGACTGGGACCTTCTAATAAAACTCCCTGGATGAAGTGATTTCCTGGCTCTCCATAAAATCCTCACCCTTTCAGCTGGGTGTCTTTGCTGGACCCTTTGTGAACAGAGGGATGGAGGGTCAAATTCCAGGGCTAGGGAGAGCAGGGAGCTGCTTCACATCACCTTTCCATAGGGTGGATCCTGCCTGGATTCCTGAGCTGGGAAGTGCCCTGGAGGTGCCATTGAAGGGGTTTTCCCACAAATACACACAGAACCAAAGTTCTCCCTGGATGACTTTCCCTTTCTGATGGAGGACAGATATCCAGCAGCAATAGATACTGCAACAAAAGAGCTCCCTTTGCCCCCAGGAGCTGCCATCCTGCTGTGTGGGAGCAGCCTCACGTGCTCATGGAACACAAAGCAAGGCCTGATATCCAGAAGGAATGATAATGATAATGATAATAATGATAATAATGATAATGATAGTGATAATGATAAAATGGTTCAATTTAGGCTTTATCAAAGAGGAGGGAAAGGCAGGACAGAGAAGGCCGTTTGATCACTCGGTGCCCATCAGCCAAGCCATAACCTGAGGCAGGCACACGGTTCAGGGAGAGGACAGGCTCCCCAGGGCTGGAATTACCTGTCTTTCTGTGCCTCTGGGCAGTGGAGCTGGTCCTTGGGAAGAGCTGGGAGGGTGTGGACACTTGGCTGGGTGCAGGACAGTGCTCGGGGTGCTCACAGCTGAGTCTCCATCCCATATTTACATCTGAGGAGCTTTTGGCCCTGGGATGTGTTCATGTAGTGGCAGGACAAGGGTCAGTGGCTTCCAACTGACAGAGAGTAGGTTTAGATCAGATATTGGGAAGAAAATCTTCCCTGTGAGGGTGGGGAGGCCCTGGCACAGGTTGCCCAGAGAAGCTGTGGCTGCCCCATCCCTGGAAGTGTCCAAGGCCAGGTTGGACAGGCCTTGGAGCAAGCTGGGCTAGTGGAAGGTGTCCCTGCCCATGGCAGGGGTGGGAATTGGATGGTCTTTGATGTCCCTTCCAACCCAAACCCTTCAGTGATGCTATGACAACACTGGCATTGGCACCTCCCATAATTTCTAAGAGCACACAAATATTGATAAAGCTGCCAGAAATCCATTTAAAGTATCTCAGCAGGTGGGACAAAGCCGTAAAGAAAAAACATTTGTAACAATTATTGCACGTATCAAGTGGTGCCTGACTTGTGCTTTAGGACAACCCACGTTGTAAATCAGTTTTTGGGACTGGGGTGAGCTCACCCCGGGCTGCAGGTAACCCTCTGCAATATAACCATAAAAACTCTGCGTGTGTCCCCGGAAATCTCTCGAGGCAGGAGCTGCTGCCCCAGTGACCTCCTGCACACCCAGGGCCTGGCTCGCTTCCCAGCACGGGCTGGGATGTCATAAAACGAGCTGGATCTGCTCCCCGGCTCCCTGAACTCTGTCCCCGCTGCCACAGCCGGGACTATTTGCATGTTAAAAGCAGGGGGAAAGATAAAAGGTAAAAGGCACCCGGTAGTTTGCCAAACTCCGGAATTTCTGCGGGGCGGGGCGGAGGAGGAGGCGCGGGAACGCCTGTGCCCTGCCTCCTGCTCCAGGGTATTTAACCTGGGCAGTCCTGGCTGGAGCCACAGCTCTGCAATCTCCAGCACAGCACGCGTCCCTCCAGGACACAGCCCTCCAGATCATCCCTCCAGATCATCCCTCCAGGGCACAACACTCCAGGACATCCCTCCAGCTCCCATCCCTCCAGGATATCCCTCTAGATCATCCCTCCAG